CTCTATAGGCAACATTGGAGACAGTAATACATGCCTGGCTTAATGAAACGAGGGAATGGGACACAGGAGAAGAGCAGAGAAGGGACACGAGACTGTCAAAGTAAAACAGGAACCAAGAGACATTCACAAAGATGCAGACTTGACACTGAGACATGGAGACAAGAGGGAAGGGTGACTAGACATGAAACGTGGAACACGGGGAAGGCAAAGTAACAGAAACCAAACAGAAATAGAAAATAAGACTATAACACACAGAGAACAATAAGGAGAACCAAAACCATGAATAACACTAAAACAAAGAATATCAGTTAATCAAGACACACAAAACACTGTGTCCCAGACCCAGTACTGTGACATTATTATGTCTCTGTGGGATTACTGTAATGCGCTATATGAACCAAGAAATAAAAAAGAATAATCCCATTTAATGTTATTTGTGATTTGCTGCCTCTTTGGAGCTAAAGGGGCTACTCAAACACATGAGATATCAGTGGAAAGCCCAAGCTGTCCTCTATTTAATACATCAGGACTTAGTAAGATAGCTCAAATAAGTCACAAGATATTGACCAAAAACAAATGTCCATACAGAGGACATAATAGAATAGGCTGGGCCTGAGGAGGTTATGCAGGAGTTAGACAGTTTTCCCTCTCACATCTCCAGTTGGTTCAAAATGCCACTTTTGACTGCAGTGTGTAGAGAAGTGAACCTTAAGCCTATTATGGCAACACTCCATTGGCTGCATGTGCACTTTAGAATCCCTCTTAAAGTTCTTTTGTTTTTAAATCCTTAAATTATTTAAATCCTTAAATAGTTTTGGCCTGTGGTACCTCTCTGAGCTGCTTTACTCATACACATACACACATACATGTCCAAGGTCAAGTAATCTGACCAGCTGCTCATACATGCACAAAAACTGGAAGCTTGGAGGGTATTTTCTTTTGTTGACCCCAGATTATAGAATAAATTGTCTTTGCACATTAGACAATCACCTACATTGTCCATTTTGAAACTCATCTTAAAACTCTCTGGCTTTTCAACCCATCATGAGACATTGATCTTACTTGTTTTGATTTTGTTTTGTTGTTTTATAGTTGCTTGTTTTTGTTTTTATTATAGTTTTTTAATTGGTGTTATTTTTACTTTTTGCTAAAGTGCTTTTTTATTTTTTTGCCTGTCCTGTCTGGCACTGTGGCAATCAGAATTATTGTCTGAAGGCCAAAGAAAATACCCAAAGTGCTTTAAAAATGAAGTTGGTATGGTATGTATGGTATAGTACATTACAATGCTACCCAGGTAGCTGGAGGACTGTCCGTACGTGACTGGCCTTCAGCTTCAAAGCAATGTGCGACAAGCTAATTACTTCCAGTTTGGAAATAGCTTAAGAATGTATCTGTAGTTTGCCATGGAGTGGCAGATCATGTGAACTAGCATAATTTCACAGATACTCCAAAATCCAAAGTAATAG